CCAAGTAGCCGGAATTACAGGCATGTGCTACCACACCCGGCTGATTTTTTGATTTATTGTAGAGATGAAGTCTTGCTGCCCAGGTGGGTCTCGAGCGGGATTACAGGCTGAGCCACCGAGCCGGCTCTTATTCATTTCTTATTCATGGCATCCCACGAGGGAAAAAAGAATCCTCACTCCCATGCCTTTTTCTCCCCTTATGACAGGGATTAATATTCACTGCCTCTTTAACAGGACAATGCAAGAAAGACGAGAAACAGCAGTAGCCCAGGAGCTGGGAATGCCAATTCTTGCCCCTGGGCTGCCCTGCCATGGGCGCCTCAGTCCTATAAACCCACTTCTTTCATCTGTATCTCAAGGATTAGATGCTATGCTTCTCAGTCTCCTTCAGCTCTGCAACTGAGCTCCTAAGAAAACCAAATCTAACTTTATAATCAAGATTTTTTTTTTAAGAGTTGCAGGGTACAAGTGAGGGTTTGCTACAAAAGTAGGCTGCATGCAAGTGAAGCTTGGGCTTCTAGCTGGCCCTTTCTCTCCTTGGTTAATAATGACATTTTAAAAAGATGGAATTAATGTGATCAGGAAACAAAAAAGTTTGTCTATCTACCTATCTATCTATCTATTTATCTATCTATCATCTATTTATCATCTTTTTTGAGTTGAGATCTCACTGCGTTGCCCAGGCTGGTCTTGAACTTTTGGGCTCAAGTGATCCTCCTAAGTCAGCTTCTTGAGTAGGTGGGACTATAGGTGTGAGTAACTGTGCCCAGTTGAAACCTATATTCTTAAAGAATCTAAGTGCAGGCTGGGTGCAGTGACTCACTCCTATAATCCCAATACTTTGGGAGGCCAAGGCAGGAGGACTGCTTGAGTCCAGGAGTTTGAGAAAAGCCTGGGCCACATAGCGAGACTTCGTCTCTACAAAAATCAAAACTGTTATACCTCATTTCTCTTTCCTGGCATCTCTTCAGTTCATACATTTCATAAATGACTACAAAGTTCTACTCAAACCTTTATGCTAAACTTAAAAGTTCCTTGTAGCTTTGATTTGACTCTTAATTATTGGTCAGTTTTTTAGTATAAAATTTTGCAGAAGCAGAATATGAAAAGGCTAGTTTGCGTTCCACCTGATTTTTACTTCTCCAAGACAAGGGAATTGTTCTTACCATGTCTGCCTCTTAGCACCTTCAGTCTAGTAGATGCTCACTGGCAGTATACTTTTTAAAAAGATTTCTCTCTGGTTTCATGAAGTGGGGATGTTGAAAAGTCTAGAACACAGAGTTGCTGTGCATCGTGGGTTTTGTCTGCTGTCCTGCTAAGTGTTTTGGTTTCCTTATCCTTTGCAAATGTTTTTTGCCAACACAAAGCACCATTACCTTTTCTCACAATTTTCTTCATAATTTGATTCCCACAAAGAAGTTATGACTTGTAAAGAAAACATGGCTACTATCCTATCAGAGTTAAATCTAATAACTCAATTTCAAGAAGAAAAAACGCAGATAAACTTATTAAAACAAAACAAAAGCTACATGATAACTCATCTCTTACAAAATGGTTACATGACTGGATATCAAATAGTCAAAAAAAGACACAGACCAGAGTACCTGCTGAGATCCTAGTTAATTTCACAATTACAAAGTTGATAGGCATTTAGTCATTTCTCTTTCAGAATTTACCTTATTATATGATATTAGAAAAAATGAAAATATTAATGTTCTCTATTAAGAAAAGTTTAAATGACACATACTCTATATAAAAATTTTGGTTTAAAGTTATCTTCAACTTATTCAATGCCCTCAAAAAGAAAAAGAAAGAAAAGAAAAATCATTGGGTAAGTTCCACTGCTTGATTTAAAAAAAGTTTTACATGTTAGGGATAGAATATTCTTTAATTGGCAGGTAGAGAATGAAAGCCAAGTCAAATTAATGAAACATCATGGGTCTTGATGACCCAGAAAATTATGGTGAATAAATATTACCTAAAAGGAAATTCAAAAAAATTCCTGTTGACGGCATTTTTCCTGACATATAGGGGTTCACTCTGCAATCAAAAAAGGCAAAATGCTGAGTTCAGAAATGCAAAGCAAATTTATTAAGTTGCTGTCAGTTAATATGATGAATAATGATCTGAATTCAATAAGTCAATTGCTGATGGAATTGTAAATGTCAGCTGAATTTATACTGAGGGCTAGCAGCTGTAGATATATACAAATGGAAGAGTTTGCCACCTCAGAGTATGTGAGGGCAAGGAAAATATAGAAAAATTTTTTGTGCATGTGTGCAATGTATTTTAAGTGCTCAGAAAGTGAATTTTACCACAATAAGAATGAACCACAATAACGTTACTAGAAATGTACAGATATCATGGCCTGTACACCTGCATGCTCTTCCTTTGAGGGGCAGCCACACTGGTTGGTTCGCTCTCACCTGAGTTTGCAACGCCTTCAGATACATGTCAGGGAGCTCCTGACGTGCCATGCAAAGGAAACAGCAAGCCAGGTAGAGACAGCAGACCCACATGACCAACAGCAAAGCATCCTGCTAGGAGACTTCTTGAAAAGGGACTTCAAATTCTGAGCAGATGATAAAGAGTTAAAAAGAGGCTGCTTCTATATGAGAGGGCTCAAATACACATTCTGGAACATGAGTGAGAACAGTTCTGTTTTAAGCCCGGGTCAAAAGTTGCAGCAAAAAGAAAAGCATGACTAAATGACTTTCTCCCACTTCCCTAATTTATAGAAAAATTGTATGTATGATTTTTCTTTCAAAGCAAGCTGAAAAATGTTTAAATGGGTAATTTAAAAACAGTCTTCAGAAAATCTTATTATTACCTTTTCTAATTTATTTTTGAGTCAGGGTCTCACTCAGTCACCCAGGCTGGAGTGCAGTGGCATGATTGTGGCTAACTGTAGCCTCGACCTCCTGGGCTCAGGTGATCCTTCCTTCTCAATTTCTTGTGTAGTTGGGACTATAGGCATGTGCCACCAGCCCAGCTAATGTTTTGATTTTTTAACAGAAATGAGGTCTCGCTATGTTGCCAGGCTGGTCTTTTTTTTTTTTTAAATGTTTAATCTTTATTTTATTTTCAACTCCCTTTATTTTTTTGGGTAGATCCAAGTTTTAATCTTAATCATATCCTTTTCTGGCAAGAACTTCCTTTCATATTTTTTGTAGGACAAGCATACTGGCAACAAATTTCTTTCTTCCTCTGGTTTTATCTAAGTAATTTTTAATTTTTCCGTTATTTTTAATTTTGGTAAAATACATGTAACATAACACTTACCATTTTAACCACCTTAAGTGTACAGTTCAGTGGATTTAAGTAAATTCACATTGTTGTGCAACCATTATCACGCCAGGCTGGTCTTAAACTCCTGGGCTCAAGCAATCCTCCTGCCTTGGCCTCCCAAAGTGCTGGGATTACAGGTGTGAGCCACAGTGCCCAGCCTATCTTTTCTAATTTAAAGTCTATAAATGACATACACAAACATATGAATTGCATAGAAAAGCTCAAGAATTAGTGGCTAACACAATATTGGAAAAGGTAGCAGGACAAAAACTGGTGAGTGAAGACCGTTTGGTGGTCTATAGGCTACATAAGGGTCAAAATGGCAGAATGCAATAGCCACCTGAAGTCATCATCCTTCAAGCTTCCTGGTGATATGTTCCACTTCTCAGGTCCTTCCTGGGCAGCCTACGTCTGCAGGGATGCTGCATTAGAACGGTGGCCTGCGTGTCACCTTCCCCCAACTTCCAAGAAGAAGGAACAGGGAAGAGGCCAATCTGCACAGATCTGTGCCACTGGACTCTAATATATCAAGGTGGATTTGGCATTTCTTCCCCAAAACTAATGAAACAAACACTTGAGAAAAATTATTTCTAGAAATTATTCTCTATTTCAGGTTTCTTTTCATGCCCCCAGTTTCATTTATACTGAATAACCACCTCTGATCAATATGTGAGAAGCTATTATAGCGGTACAAAAATACCCACACCAGATTATTAAAATGGAAAGACCACACTTAAATTCATGGAAACAGTACTGCAGTGATGACTGCAGTTCCAGATCTTGATACCCTACTCCATACGAAGCAGGAACTGGCACTTCCTGGGCAAGGGGAGCCATTTTCCTAATTTCCTACTGTTTAAAAATGGTCAAGAGTTGCCACATCTTGGGGGCTTACCCTTGAATTTCAAGTGCCATTTAGAATATCACTTGACATTTTGAACAGGTAAAATCAGCTGCTGCTCTACACTACCCCGTCTGCAGGACAGGCATGGTGTGAAAACACTGCACCTCTGCTCAGTCTCACCTACACTGTCAGCAGTGTCGCATCAGCAGCAGGGCAGATCTCCAGGGCTTCAGCCACCAGGGCAGCCACCCTGTGCCACAACCAAGGGCCTCAAAGGGTACAGTTGAAGGTCCGGGGCTCGTTCAGTGCTGCGGTTGGAGGTTCGGGACGCCTTGTCTGGGTAATCTTCTGTTTCGGGTTTTTTGTCTCTTCTTCCTCTTCTGTTTCACTTTCACAGACATGAACCACCACGCTAGGTGTCGACTCAGTTCCTGCATGAAGTTCGTATTTCTCTCCTGTGGAGGCAAACAAAGTAAGAACCAGGGCAGAAGCCTCACTTCCAGGAAAAAGGACTTTGTCTCTTGAATCTTCTTGTTCCACTCATATTTTAATTGTTGGTGATTGATTTTAAGTTTTTATTTTTATTTTATTTCTATTTTTATTTTTTGAGTTGGAGTCTCACTCTGTCACCCAGACTGGAGTGCAGTGGCCGCTCCCGGCCACCACAGCGTCCACCTGCTGGGCTCCGGCGATCCTTCCGCCTCAGCCTTCCAAGTAGCTGGAACTACAGGCGTGCGCTACCATGCCCGGCTAATTTTTTTGATTTATTGTAGAGATGAGACTTTAAGTTTTTAAATCCTATGTCAGATTATTTTATCTTGTTCTGGTGCCAGAGATTTGATACTTAAAGGCTCTTTAAAAATGCTGTTTCAGTACTGAGGTCTTGGGAGCTAAATGCAAATGCTAACTAATGTTTTGTGAATAATGCGAATATGCTGAACTTCATAATGGTTTCAGTTTTCCCTTTCTTCTAGGACCTCAGACATCCACGATGATGCCGTAACATCTAAAATGGCACTAAGCCACTTTCTCTTTGAAATGCTTCTTGTATTCCCAATAAAAGACATAATGCTGTCTTGGGTGAACAGCTACTCTGAACAAGCATGGCATCAGCTTCGGATATTATTTTAAAGGGAAGAGAGAAGTAGAGAAATTAAAGAGAAGAAACAGAACAAACAAAAAAGAAAAAAGAGTGAAGAAAAATGTGGAAGGGATGATAATATGATATCACCAGTTCCTTGCAATAGATCGAAAGTCGCTGTCATCGGTTGGGTACTTGATGGGATGGGGAGAGGAGGAAAATGATACACACTGACTGCCTATTAAGGACTAGTAGAATTTGCTGTAATTACATTTATTATTGTGTATATATCATGCAATATTTATAGCTATACTGAATGGTAGGTATTATGATTATCCCTACTTTATAGATGAAAAAAATTCAAGGCTCAGAAAATTGAGGCTGATAAATTTACTTTTTATGCTTTTTATTTCAAGAGTTTTAGTGGGTACAAATAGTTTTTTGTTACAGGGTTGCCTTGTGTAGTGGTGTATCCAATAGGTGATTTCTCCTCCCTCCACTTCTTCCCACTCTCCCCTGCCCGAGTCTCCATGTTCATGACAGCACGCGACGTGAGGCTGAGAAATCTCCTCAAGACCACGGACTAGCAAATGCCACAGCAGGAATTGGAACCTGGGTGTGTGTGATATCATCCCCCACTCTGATCACACGGCCACCAGTTGGCTAGAACATACATTGCTGAATATGGTCTTCCACAGAAAAAGTTTCTTAGGGAAAACAAGAAAAATAGCAGTTTGTTACCTGGTCCCAATTTGGAAACAGCACAGAGTAAATCGTAATTTATAACAGGCATTGCATCCTCACTCTGCTTCCAGCCCACGGGTGGGGAGGCGGGCGGTGAGATGAGGAACTGTCTGGCAGGCTGTGGTGGCAGGAGGTACGACTTGTCCCGGGCTTCACTGGACACCTGCACCTGCAGGGAGTGAGATGCTCAAAGCTAGTTTGCAAACCAGGCTGTATTTTCTTTATTTTCACCTATACGTCAACGTTACATCTTTTGGGAGAAAATTTAAAATTTCTCTTAAGCAGTTCATAATCTGTAGGAGGGTGGGACCGGGTCTGTCTGGTTCACCACTGAACCTCCAGTGCACAGCATAGTGGCTGCACAGACTAGGTGCTCAATAAATATCAGCTGAATAAGAAAATTAAATGGATGAACACATGAATGCCAGAGAAAGGAATGGCAGTAACTACTAAGTTCCAATCTTAGCCGGGCTCAGTGGCTCAGCCTATAATCCCGCACCTTTGGGAGGCTGAGGTGAGTGGATTGCCTGAGCCCGTGGGTTCGAGACCCGCCTTGGCAACTTGGTGAGACCTCATCTCTACAATAAATCAAAAATTAGCTGGGCATGGTAACGCACGCCTGTAGTTCCAGCTACTTGGAAGGCTGAGGCGGAAGGATCGCCGGAGCCCGGCAGGTCGAGGCTGCAGTGGCCAGGAGCGGCCACTGCACTCCAGTCTGGGTGACAGAGTGAGACTCCAACTCAAAAAACAAAAAAAGTTCCAATCTTAGGAGAGACTGGGCTGTCATTTCTTACTTTTGTACTCCATCTCAAGAGATTCTACCAAGATACATCTAGATTCTTTCACTTGAGTTTTCATTTGGAATGCAAGATAACAACTCTCTTATTTTTATATTTGAAAACTAAAACCAAGAAAAAATATAATTTTGAAAATCAATCTGTATTTAATATATGATTAAAGATCTAAAGTCTTTATTTTGCTAAGTTTTCTGAGAAGAACTTGGTTTCTCAGAGAGTCACAGCAATGCGAGATTAGAATAATAAGCAAGGCCAATTCTTGGTAGTCTACAGGATCCTACAATCGCAAAGTCTAAGAGAAAGCCTTTTGAACCATTCTGTGCCACCTCCCTGGCCATCTCTTGCACCGGCAGCCATTTTCCATGGGGGGTTACTCGTATGAATTACAGATCACAGCAAATGACCAAAGAGATGTTTTCCCCAAGTCTCCCACGGACTTCATGTATTATTTCATGTGTGCCATCTTAGATGCACAGCAGAGAAAAGAAGCTCATTAGCCCTGGGCTGTCAGGGCTTAACCCACACAGAACCCCAGGTTAGCAAGCTGCCAGAAAAATGAATTTAAAATATAATGAGAATACATCTCATCAAAACAAAGCCAGGAGGGTAAATATGCTAAATAAATAAATCTCTCTAAAGTCAAGGAAAACATTTTATAGTACTTGCTAATTGGAACTGTTCAGTGCAGACACCTCTGATAGAATACTATAGAAAATGGAGAATTAAAAATACTTCTGGACAGAGAAAAGCAAGTTTAGAGAACAAGGTCCTTTGCACAAATACCTGTGCAAAATACAGCTTCAGTTTCTGCCCATTGAAGTCTGTTTCATGGAGTTCTATTCGAGCTCTTGCAGCTGCTTCAGGCTTGCTGAAATTTATCCTGACTCTTCGAAAGCTTTTGAATAATTGAAACGTAACTTGGTCGTCATAGATGGTGAAGAGTGCTTCAAATCTTTCCTGCGAGTTGGGGAGCAGCAGGGAAAAGAGAATGGAAAAAGAAAACCTTTAACAGAAGAAAATTTAAACCATCAAACCTAGGTCATGGGGTAGAACGTGTTACCCATTTCCTTCTCTACACAAAAGCATACTTTTCTTGCAGGTATACAAGAACAGGCATCCTGTACTTCATGCAATTTGCATTTTTAAATATGATTACCTTTAATAAATATTGTATATATTCAAAGGCTATAAAATAAATGTGAGGTATAAAAGAATGAACAAACATGCCCAATTTTGGAACACGGCTGTTGCTTTGAAGTACCCAGAGCACAGAGGGGGTTTTCTTCCCTATCACATTCCTTTCATCCTTCAAAGTAATCATTTCTGGAATTTTACCAATCCCTTGTTTTTTCTTTTCTTTTTTCCTTTTTGAGTCAGGAGTCTCACTCTGTTGCTCAGGCTGGAGAGCAGTGCAACATCCTTTGCCCAGGTGAACCTCCCGCCTCACTCCTCTCCCGAGTAGCTGGGACTAAAGGCATGTGCCACCACACCCAGCTAATTTTTTTTCTTTTTTTGTAGAGATGAGGTCTTGTTATGCTGCCCAAACTGGTCTCAAACCCCTGGGCTCAGGCAGTTCACCCGCCTCAGCCTCAGGAAGTGCTGGAATTATAGACATGAGCCACCGCATTTTCTTTACAGTTTTGCAACATTTACTTGTATCCCTAAAGATGTGATCCCCTATGTGTTCTTCTACAGCTTGGTTTTGCTTAGATTTTGTTCCCAAGACTCTCCCTTGTTGCTGTGTGTAACTGTAGATCATTCTTTTTCATTTGTATTCTATTGTATAGCCTTACCACAATTTATTTATTCTAATGCTGCTGGAGGTTGGACTGCCTCCAGGTTTTTACTACTACAGTACAGTTCTGCTATGAAGGTTCCAGTACAAATCTCTTGGTACCCATGTGCATCCGTTTCTCTGGTGGTTATGCCTTCAAGTGGAATTCTTTGGGCCTTTGAGTTTGCACATCTTTACTAGATAATGCCAAGTAGTTTTCCAAAGTGTACCAATTTACTCCTAAGAGCTGATATGTGTTGTGTTTTCTTTTATTTATTTATTTATTCTTTTGAGTTGGAGTCTCACTCTGTCACCCAGGCTGAAGGGCAGTGGCACGCTCCCAGCCACTGCAGCCTCGACCTACTGGGCTCCTGTGAATCTTCTGCCTCAGCCTTCCAAGTAGCTGGAACTACAGGTGAGCGCTACCACGTCTGGCTAGTTTTTTAAAAATTTATTGTAGAGACAAGGTCTCGCCAAGTTGCCTGGATGGGTCTCGAACCCGAGGGCTCAGGCAATCCTCTAGCCCCAGTCCCCCAAAGTGCTGAGATTACAGGCTGAGCCACCAAGCCCAGCTGTGTTGTGTTTTCTTCATATCTTTGCCTCTACTTGACATAGTTAGACTCTTATTAAACTTTTACCAATGGGTGTAGGAAATATAACACTAGCTCTAATTTTGGCTGTCATTCACATTTCCTTGAATAATGAGGCTGAGCCTCTTTTCATGGTTACTGGTCATTTGGGGTTCCTTTTAAGGTAGTATGCCGGTTCATATATTTTGTCCATTTTTCTACTGGGTTGCTTTTTAGCTGAGTCATAGGAGTTTTTTGTTTTTTGTTTTTTTTTAAAGCGAGAAAGCAAGATTTACAGAGAGGACAGAAAGCTCCCACAGTGGGAAGAGACCCAAAGGGGTTGCCCGAGTCATAGGAGTTCTATCAGAAATACTATTTCTCCGTCAATTATGTTTTCCCAGTATTTTCATTGTCATTTTTTTTGGAAACAGAAAGTTTAAATTTGAATATTACTGAATGTACGTCTTTTCTTACTGTGCTTTTGTCTCATAAAATTCTTCCACACCCTGAGAGCATGATGCTCTTCTAGACTGCCTTCTCAGTCTTATGATTTTAACTTTCACATATAAGTCTTTCCTCAGTTTAAAACGGATGTGCATGTATGAGGCGTCCCTCCATTCTACCGTGACCACTCTCTTTTTCTCTGTTGCTATAAATTACCTTGCATTTTCCAGAACCTCATACAAACTGAATTAAAAAGGATGTATTCTTTTTGGGGAGGAGAGTCTAGCTTCTTTCATGGAGCATAATAATGTTGAGATTTAGCCCTGTTATCATGGTGGTTCTTTTCGTTCCTTTGAATTGTCAAGCAGAATTCGAATGTATGGGTGCTTTGCCTGTGGATGAACATTTGGGTTGTTTCTAGTTTTGGACTATTACAAGTAAAGCTGCTATGAACATTCAGGTACAAGGTTTTGTGTTAATATGTTATTTTTTTTTTGGGGGGGGGAGAGTAAATAGTAGAGAGTGAGAGGCCTGAACTGACTGATAGTTATATAATCATCTTTTCAGAAACTACCAAACTGTTTTCTAAGGTGGTTGTACCATCTTACATTTCTACCAACAGAGTTGCTCCATGTTCTCAACAACACTTGGTATAGTCAGGAGTTCTGATTTTAGCCATCCTTCTGAGTGTGCAGTATTATCTCACTATAGTTTTAATGTGCATTCCCCTAATTACTACTGAAACTGAATATCTTTTTTTTTCCCCTGAGTCGGAGTCTCACTCTGTTGCTCAGTCTGGAGTGCAGTGACATGCTCATGGGCACTGCAGCCACAACCTGCTGGGCTCAGGTGATCCTTCCACCTCAGTCTTCCAAGTAGCTGGAATCACAGGTGTGTGCCACCATGCTCAGCTGGTTTTTTGATTTATTGTAGAGACAAGGTCTCACTAAGTTGCCCAGCCTGGTCTCGAACCCCTGGGCTCAGGCAATCCTCTTGTCTCAGTCTCCCAAAGTGTGGGGATTATAGGCTTGAGCCATCGTGCCGGGCTGAATATCTTTTTATAAACTTACTTCTCATCTTTGATCAAGTATCTGTTTAAATCTTTCCCCATTGTTAATTTGCTAATTTGGGCTGTCTTTGTATTAAGTTGTAAGAGTTCTTTTTGTGTACCTTAAGACATAAACCCTTTTTCAAATATGTTTTGAAAATATTTTCTTCTAAAATGTTGCTTTCTTTTTTCATTTTGAAATAGTGTCTTTTAAAGAGCAAAAGGTTTTGCATTTTGATGAAGCCCACTTTTTTTGCCTACTTTTAATAACTGTGCTTTTTGTGCCATATTTAGAAAATCTCTGCTATTGCAAAGTGGCTAACATTTTCTCCTATGTTTTCTTCTATAAGTTTTATAGCTTAGTTCTTACATTAAGGTCTATGATCTACTTGGATCCAATTTTTGTATAAGATGTGAGGCAACAGGTTAAAGTTCATTTTTTTTCTAGTGCCAACTGTTGAATAAATTTCCTTTTCCCTATGTACTGTAAATTATAAAACATAGTTGAGAAAAACTAAAGACCCAAATAAAGAAGAGAGATATACCTTTTTCTCCTCTGGAAATCACTTTTTGACATTATTGGTTCTCTCTGTGTATATTTATTATGTATCTTATTAGTTTCTCCTCTTCTTTCGAGTTTGTTCTTTTCTACCTACTTAAGATGGCTGCTTAGTCTATTGATTTTTCAACTTTTCTTCTAACATAAGCATTTAATGGATATACATTTCTAAGTACTGTTTTTAGATGTTCCCCACCAGTTTTCATATATGTTATTTTCATTATCATTTGATTCTTAATACTAATTTTCATTATAATTTCTTCCTTACCTCATGAATTGTTTAAATGTATATTTTTAAAATTTCAAATAGATGAGATTTTGTTTCTAATCTTTATTTAAAGTCTCACTTATCTTCACTATGATCAGAGGAGGCTATCCATAGTGATATCAACCCTTTGACATTTTCAAGGCTTGCTTTCAGTTCAATGTCATCAATTTTCACAAATCTGTGCTTAGAAGGAATGTGTTTGTGCAGCTGTTTGGTACTGTATTATAAATACCTTTAGTATATAAAGACTGTGATCTTTAGAAGGTCTATATTTTGATTTTTTTTTTTTTATCTGTTAGAACTATTGATTACCGAGAGAGCTGTTACATTCGCCTACTATTAGGTGGCTTTATTATTTTTCTATATAATTCAGTCACTTTGACTCCAATATTTTAAGGCTATGTTATCATGTGCATACAAAATATAATTTTTTTCTCTTCTTGGTAAACTGAATCGTTCTTTAATCATTAGGTAGTGACCCTCTTTATTTCTCTAGAAATACTGTTTGCATTAAAGCCTATTTGGTCTGGTATTAATATAACTGGTGCGGGTATCTTCTGGTTATATATTACATGAAAATAAATTTTCATCTTTTACTTCTAACCTTTATGTATTCTTATGTTTTAGATATGTCTCACAAAAAATGTGTGTGTACCTATAATGTCTGTGGTATCTGTATGTAACTAAATCCAGTCTGATAATCATTGTCTTTTAACTAAAGGCATTAGTCCATTATTGTGATTATTGATATTTTTGGATGTCAATTGTCTTATTTTATCTATTTATCTCAGATTTTCTAGGTTCTTTTTTTTTCCCTCTACTGCCCTCTTTTTCTTTCCCTGTTTTCCCTCCAAATGAAATTCTCATGAGTGACACTAATGTACAATTTGGGTCTTCCTTTAAGATGATGCAGAATTTCCATAGTGTTGGGAGCCGGCCATGGAGGCCAGCCTGAGTGTTAGGGATCCAGGAGGGCTGCGGACCCTGAGACCACTAGGATGAGTTCAGGAGCTGAGGGCCCATTCCTTCTTCCCTTCTGTGCTGTTTGGCACGTCCCACTAGCAGGGACTTTGAGGATCTAAGCATGAAGCGCTGAGAGTACGACAGGCATGGCTTACTTTAGGAGTCCATTGATCCCATTTCTCACAGACTGTGGTTTCGGCTTTAAACTTAACATAATTCAAACTCAGGTCACATTTGGGAGCCTTTAATACGGTATAAGTTTCTTTATAAGATTTAAAAGTATATTTGTAGAATTAGTATATACATATAAAGTGCTGTTTCAACTTTAATAATATAGATGATTATCTAGAGTTACTAGAAACAGCCCAGCATGAACTTTGGGCTGGGCCACATTCCTAAGGGCCCAGCATGATCTTTTGACTGGGCCACATTCTTTAGGAACTGGTTTGGGCTATGGTTGAGAGTTTCTATAGTGTAGGTAGAATTAGTGTAAAATAGAGAGGAATTGGGATTTAAGTTGGTCATTAAGTGTTGTGTATGCATAAGTTTTAAAAGTTATTGATTATTAGAATATTATGATATTAGAATTGTTGTATTGCTTTTGAGGAATATTAACCAAGCAGGAGGAACAGTGAGATAGTTTTGGGATCCTCCTTCCTCATGCTTGGGGAAATACCTGGTGGGTGGGGGATGCCCCTCATCCACCTGGCTCTATGTTCATGTAAATGTCTTGTGATTTAATTGGGATTGCCCTTCCTAATACTCGAGGAAACACCTGGTGGGTGAGGGATGCCCCTCATTCACGTGGCTTTGTGTTCATGTAAAAGTTTTGTGATTTAATTGGGATTGTTCTTCCTCATGCCTGAGGAAACACCTGGTGGGTGGGGGACACCTCTCCTGCACCTGGCTTTGTGTTCATGTGAAAGACTTGTGAGACTGTCTGTGTAAAATTTGGGGATAAATACCCGCTGTAACTTCCAATAAATGGCTTCTGCTCAATTCATTGAACAGTTGTCCATTTTCTTTCTTTCTCTTTATATCTATCCCTCCATCTTTCTTTCAATATCTATCCCTCCTACAGAATCGGCTTCTGCACTAGACAGAGTCCAGTCTCTTTCTTTCTCCTCCCTTTCTTTCTTTTTCTCTATTCCTCCATCTTTCTTTCTCTTTATTTCTCCAGAATAATTGCCGACGCCACCATACCTTCCAGGGACCCTCTAAATCTCTCTGCAGGGGCTGGCCCCCCGCACCATAGTTTTTTTTTTTCCCAAAGGCAAACAATAAACTCTTCTTTTCAGTGTTCACACTGGGAGTTTGTAATTCTATAGAAATAGCATCGGGAGGGAGTAAAATTATATATATATACTTTTATATATATGTGTGTGTATGTGTGTGTGTGTGTGTGTGTGTGTGTGTGTGTGTGTGTGTGTGTGTGTATATCCCCTAAGTACTTGGAGATGACTTAGAGCAAGAAAGAGGCAGAAGACTATTTCAGACATTCATTGAGGCTAAGAAAAAACTGTTCATTTTCCATTTATTAATGAATTGAGATAATGAAAAACTTAATTTCAACTATCAGAAGAATAGCTTTTTTGTAAATTTTCTTTACAAAAAAAATATTTAGGCTGGGCTTGGTGGCTCAGTCTGTAATCCCAGGACTTTGGGAGGCTAAGGCGAGTGGACTGCCTGAGCCGTGGATTAGAGATCAGCCTGGACAACTTGGCGAGACCTTGCCTGTATAATAAATAAAAAAATTAACCAGGCATGGTAGCGTGCGCCTGTGGTTCCTGCTATTTTGAAGGCTGAGGCAGAAGGATTGCCAGAGCCCAGCAGGTTGATGCTGGAGTGGCTGTGAGCACGGCACTGCACTCCAGCCTGGGCAATGGAGTGAGACTCCAACTTAAAAAAAAAAAAAAAACCCAAAATATTTGTGTAATAGTTTAATAAGTGAAGTGTAATAAAACAGATATAAGAATTTTTTCAATATATTTCAAAACATGCCTTTGGCTTGGCAGTGGTAATACAACATAAGGAGCTTAAAAATTAGCTTTTTCCTTGGTCTATATAAAGATCTTTCAATTATTTATTGATACCGAAGTACAAATCACACACTCCCTCATTTATTAACTTCTCTCAATTTGAACATTTATCTATCACTAGCAATATTTCCCCAGTGGGATAAAATACAAAATAATTTGTGATTAAATATTTTTCTAATGTTCAAAAAATTATATATATCCTAAAAATTATATATATATATTTGTTCATTCCTTTAAAATATATATATTAAGCAACCAACTGCATGCCGGACATTGTGCCCAGCCTGGCTTTCCCATGTACTATCAGTTGCTGCAAATGGGGATCGATTTTAGGATCAGTCCCACTCTTATTGACTATTCCTATATACTGAATACTACAAACTATTACAGATATGCTAAGGACTTTTTTTTTTTTTTTTTGAGTTGGAGTCTCACTCTCTCGCCCAGGCTAGACTGCAGTGGCGCACGCTCCTGGCCACTGCAGCCTCAACCTGCTGGGCTCTGGCAATCCTTTCGTCTCAGCCTTTCAAGTAGCTGGAACTACAGGCGTGCGCTACCATGCCCGGCTAATTTTTGATTTATTGTAGAGACGAGGTCTCGCCAAGTTGCCCAGGCAGGTCTCAAACCTGCAGGCTCAGGCAATCCACTCGCCTCAGCCTCCCAGAGTGCTGGGATTACAGGCTGAGCCACTGAGCCCGGCCACTAAGGATTTTAAAGTAGCATATCAGTTCTTAAAAAAGGTGGTGAATATGTCAGTGTGTTAGATATTGATAATTATTATTACTTCTAGGTGCATTTTGTGGTTTCTGCAGCATCTATTTCAAAGATGGCTGGCTTTGTCACTTATTGTTTTTCTTTTGAAAGTAGGATTTATTAAGACTGAAAAGTGGGAGGGGACCTGAAAGAAGATTGCCTGGCTCTGTCACTTATAAAAAGAATTAGAATTGAGGTTTTGTGAAAACACATCCTGTTTAATTCTTAGTAGTGGCTTATTTAAACATTTTAAATACTAAACAAATATTAAAATTCTCACGTGAGAGTTAAGAGGTATCAACACTGAACACAAGGGAAATGGAAATTAAGGAAGAACTAAGGAA